CCCTACAGGTACCGAATCTGAGATGTGGCTCCAAGAAAGCAGCATTTAAATAGTTGGAAAAAGATGAAAAGGAGTCTCCTGTCGGACTCAGAGCTGGTAGCCGGAGGGAGATGTTTTTCTCCCGGGAGTAATCGTGGTCCTTCATGTCACCATTGCCACATCAGCTTACAAAGTCCATGCATGTGTCATTTCCATTTAATCCTCCCCCCGCATTGGTGAACTGGGCAGGGACAGGCTTCTTCCCCTCCTTCAGATGTGAGAGCTGAGGGTCAGTCAGGTCATTTGGCGAACGAAGGTGCCTCCCCCTCGGCACGGGGAGCGGGGGCGGGGGTCCCTTGGAGAGTAACTGCCTCTTCCTTGAGTCACCGTCATGCTGGAAAGCAAGGAAGCATCTATTCCATAGCAGAACCTGGGCCCCCCACCCCTGCTTCATAATTTGTATTTAGAGCTTTACTTTAAAAATCACCCGAACAAACCTCCTGCAAGTTCTCTCAGCCACTAAGTATAGAGCCAGGATGGGGACCTGCCTCTTCTGGAAGCCTGTCCTGCACTCTTTGTGCCAAGCAGCCAGGTCTCCCCACCCTGGACCTCCACGCCCTGGCTCGCCCCTTGCTTTCGGAACAGACCCTGGAAACACAGGTGGTACCAGTGACATCGAGGGGCCATGATGAGCACACTGGAGATTCAGGGGCAGCCCCTTTTCCCCCCTTCCCCCCCTCTGCTGCTTGCCTGCTGTGCAAGCAGGTCCTCTGGGATGAGGCGGGTGGCGCTCCAGCCCCTCGCAGGCCACGCACCCCTCTTTGTGCAGGAGCCCTGGCCGGCCACCTGTTGTTAATCTAGCCCTGGTAATCCATTCTGTACCGTGTCAGCAGTTCAAAAGGGCACTGTTAGTATTTTTTGCCGACTTCAATTAACGTGAGATTTCAGAGGCCCCTCCGATCACATTTCATCTGTCACAAGTCAGGAACAAAACAGACAGGTCCCAGTTGAGAGGAGGAAGGAGAAGGAGTTTATTGCAAACAACAACCAAACAGACAGTTTGGGCTGTGCCCAGCCAAGGGTGCGCTGGGCGCGCACAGCGGCATCAGCGCTCCATTTGGCCCCGTGCCTGGGCCCCTACGTCCTCTTCTCATCAACAGTCCTCCCCTCCCCCAAAGATGTAAGTGCAATAACTTACTTTAAAAGGCAAGAACGTTTCTTTTAATATTTTTGCTATAATGTAGTTACATGGTGGTACAGGCAGTAAAACTTTATGGAACCGACCTCATTTTTTTATACATTTTTCTGAAGTTTTAATGTCTTTTTCATATATATTCTTAATATTCCACCCCAGGCCATCAAGCTAAAAGAAAAGTTGCATTTATACAGGGTTACGGTATCTTACAAGGAGAACAGTCAGGATTGATTGAGGTTCATGTTCCTTCCAGCACTCAGCTCTCTTTTCAACCACTGCACACCAAACAGACTATTAGACATTGAAAACTGTCCTTCAAAATCAGTAGTATAAAGGCCTAGCTCTATGTACGTACGTGAAGGGGAAGAAGGGGCGGGGCAAGGGCAGGTAATGTTTTGTTCACTGGAACACCTTCCCCTCCCTCCAGCATCCTCAGGGAAGTCACGCGGGCTCCCAGTGACTTTGAGAAGTTGGGTGTTTGTTGTCTTCCCGTTTTTCTCTCTCATGATCACGGATTATTACCCTGGGGGCCTGTTTGCCGGCCAGCCTCACTCCCGCTAGGCCTGTTTGCTTTTGCACCTGACAGGCCATCATGCAGTCCCAAAGCCCCAGAGCGTCCAGCCCTGAGAGGGAATGGCTGCGGAAGCAGGATTTGTGGTGGTTTTTCCTGGAAGACTTCCTCTTGTCTACCCAGCGGGAATGAGGGCGGAGGGGACACTGTCACTGGGCCCAGCGTGGCTGCAGCCATGGGCGCTGGGAACCCACCTCACGATTGCTACCCCACCCCCTTGCAGTGTCTTTGAACTAACTTGGCCACCATGCTTCCCCAAGCTGGAGGCATGGTGGTGAGAGCTGAGAATCAAGTATAGTTGAACGAATTCAAGGAAAGTTCCAAAGCCCATGTCTTCCAAGTGCCGTTGAAGACTTGGGGACAAGCCTCTCTGTGTGTCCCCAGAGCCCTCTCCCCCCACGCCCTGGGAGCAATGAGGGCATCTGAGGGTGGTAGCAGCAGCTTAGTAGTGTCAAGCCTTGGCTGCCGAGACTGGTTCCCAGCAGGGATCAGAGGCTGGCAGTGTGGGAAGGCTGCCCATGGGCCTGCCAGCCACCCATCACTTCCGGCTTGCGTGGCCATCTCTGTTGAGATCTTAGGCAAAGAGCAAAGAAAACCCCACCTCTTTTAGCTTTACTGGCTTAGCAGTGACCCCCAGAGAGGGTCCAGTCTCCTCTGCACCTGCCTTCATGAAACCTCACTCCTGAGGACGCCGCCAGCCCCAGAGAGTCACCCAAGCTTGCTTAGTCATCACGGGAGAGGCTGCAGGGGCACCTCCCGCCCCAGCAGCTGACAAGGCAGGCCTGGGCCCAGCCTCCTGACCAGGGGAGCTCCGCGCAGCACCGGCCATCAGGGCCCCTCGCTCAGCTCTGCCTCAAGTGAAACACGGCTCAGGGTGGTCACGTCTCCCCCTGGGGGCCAGGGTCATCTCCACTGTGAAGGGATTGGGCTAACTAGAGGGTTTCTAATCCCTCCCCGCTGGGCGATTCTGGGATTCTCGGAGTGTCAGGCAGGCCCTTGAGGGCTGGGACAGGGTGAGGACAGGCCTGGGGCTGGGAAGCTACCTGTGGGGAGATGCATAGGGACATTTTACACCAACATTTTAATCCTAGATACTTGACTGTGTTGGTGGGACAGACAGCCAGAGCCACACAGCCTTCTTCTATCGGAAGCTTTTTCTTCTCAAGCTTTGGGTTGCCTTACTTAGGTCTGGCCCAGGCAGAAAGCAGACACATAGAGGAATCGATGGCCCGGGGTCCCTTCCAGAAGGTTCCACTTAGGGCCCTCCCTCTCCCCTCCCTCCTCCTCTGCGGCTGTCCTAGTTCTTTCTCTCTGTCTGATTTTCTCCCAGGGGAGAACATACCTCTGGTGAAAGTTCCTCTCATGTCCTTCCCAGCCAGTAGGGCATTTAAGGAGGAACTGGGGGATTGTCTCCAGCCTAAGGCCATTTCTTCCTTCCTCTTTCTAGATTCTGGGAGTTTGAGTTGTTTCCGCCAAACTCAGATCTGGAAAAGGCTTCCTAAGAGTCAGTCCAGGATCCTCAAATGTACGAAACACTAAGCCAAGCCTCCAAGAACGTTTAATTCAATATCCAAGACCCTTTTCACTTCTAGAAGGTCAACTTTAGAGCTACGGTTCACAAAGAGGTCTGACTCTTGTTAAGGGAAGTCAAAGCCAGCTCCTTCCCCAGTCTTGTTTCTGGAGCACATGAGAACATGAGACAGAGGTGGAGACCACGCTGTCCCCAAAAACCTAAGCAGCTCAAGGGGGAGGGTCTCACTCCTCCCTGCCCACCACCCAAGAGGCTGTCCTGTGTCCAGGGCCCTTGGCCTGGTGGACCTGGCCCTCCTCACTGACAGAATCGGGGTAGAAAGGAGAAAAGGCAGGCCCTTCTCCCCAGGGGCTACCTGCCAGGGGGGGTTCCCAGGGCTCTGAAAGGCCTGCTTTGGAGGACAGGTACCCTGTGCCCCGAGCTTAGGTGACGGCTGGGCCCTGGAGCCAAAACTCAAGCCGCAGGCCTCATATCAGGCAGAGGTGGCACCCCTGCAGAAGGAGGCCCCTCCCTGCAGGCAGGGAAATCTGCTTCCGGAGAGCATCCTGACCTCTGTGTCTGGAGCAGAGCAAGTGACCCAGAGGAGCTCAGCCCCACGAGCCCTTCCGGAGGCCAGGGCGAGGGGCTGGGGTCTCCCATCCCCTAGGGCAGAAGTGCAAGGGCAGGCGCTCTCTGCCCTACGCCCAGAGGAACACAGAGCCCCCACCTGAGTGGAAGGCTCTGGGCAGGGGTGGCGCTGGAGACTGCTGAGGGCCACCTAAGGCCATGTAGGGGCTGGCCTGCCACTTGGAGGCCGAGTGAGCGTGCACTCATCCTCCGGCAGATCCTGCAGCTGCTCTTGGCCTTCTGCCACCGTGCCCGTCGGCTCTAGCTGGTGTGTCTGAGGTGTAAGTCCTTCCACACCAGGACACTGCTCAGCAGCCCCAGTGAGTGACCAGAATGGGACATGCGGAGGGACAAGCACCTCCAGATCCTCCTGGAGGGGCTTGAATGGATGGAGAAAAAGCTACCCAGACCTGCCCACTGTCGCCGTCATCCTGCCCGTGGCGGGATGTCAGGTGGCCGGAGAGCGGACGTGTGTGCACGAGCCCCTGCCCCCCACTCCCCTGGACACCTCCCTGCAGCCCTCCCTGCTCCTAGAAGCCTTCTTCCAGCTTCATGGGTACCGTGGGTGGTCTGCATCCTCCCTTGCACTGTTCACCCAGATCCAGGGTCTCGGGGTGCGAGGGCGGCTGTGCATCCTCTGGGGCCAGCGTTGCTGGGTGGCAGCAGGATCCTTCAGCTCCAGTTCGTCTCTCTCTCTGCCCAATCCCACCGGGTGTGCCCAGCACAGGGGACAGCAGGACGGGGACTCCTCGCCATCCAGGGTGAAGGCGAGGCGGGTGCCTTGGGTCCAGGAGGTGGGATTCCGTGGGCTTTTAGGGAGAGAAAAGGAGATGGGAAGGCCGAGGCCGACTCTGCAAGGCAGCCTGTTCTTCAGATACAGTCATTGGCCTGCTGACCAAGGGACCACACAGCAGAGGGAAGGACGGACATGACTGCACTGTGGCCACCGCTGGGTCTGCATGGGAGTCTATCCTCGACTCAACGGTCAAACCGGGCAGGGCAGAGGAGCAGGAGTGGGGAGAAAGGGTCTTCAGCTTATAATGGATGCAAAGCTGCAAAACTCAGCCGCCTGGCTTCCTCCACTGCCTCTGGCCGGGAGCAGGGGGCTCGGCCTCAGTGTCTGCTGCCCCCTCCCTCCCAACAGTCCACGGGGCCTCAGACTTGGAGCGGCAGAAAGTGCTGAGGGTCAGGCCCCCGGCCCCGGGCCAGGTTCCTAAGAGGAAAGTCGAATGGGGGGCTGGGGGCCTGGGAAGCATGGGCGTGACCAGTGCCCCGAGATGGGGGAGGGCACGGGGATGGGACGGGGGTGCTCTGTCATGTGGCCCAGGAGATGGCGGCGCTGTGCTCCTTGGCCTTCATGCGGAGGGCCGCGATGCTCGACGTCTTGCGGTCTGGCTCACCATTGAGCTCGTAGCCGTTGAGGCCCGGGTTGAGGCCCGTGGCTCCAAACAGGCTGCCCATGTGCGTCTGGCCCACGTGGCTGCCAGCCCCAGAGACACCCAGGAAGTCGGTGACACTGCTGGCCCCAGAGCCGGGGGGGTGAGCGTGAGGGGACATGCAGGCGGGCACAGGGTCACAGGGGACCACGCACGCTGGCACTGGTGAGGCAGCCCCGTTGTTGCTGATCCAGGACGGGTTCTGAATCTGGGGAGAGGGGAGGCAGAGATGTCACAGGCTGGCCGGGGCTGGGGTGCGGGGAGTACATCGGGGCTTTCCCCTCCCCCACAGATGACCTCTCCTCACTTACGAGACCACCCTGATGATGAAACCATTCCAGAGCGTTTACTTGGGAGCCTCTCGAAACCTTTATGGCCATCTAGCCCCTTAGGAGCCTTTGGGTTTTAGGCTCTGGCTCCTCTGTTCCCAGGGCCAGGTGAGCGAGTGGCAGATAGAGGTTCCGTTTTAAAGACTGAACTTGAAATTTCATCAAGCGTCTAGTGAAACGGCTGTCCTGGGGACACAGCTCACCAGCTGAGGGCAGCCCGCAACTTTAGAGGCAGATGCAGACTTTGTCTCTGCATCCGTGGCCTGCTAGGGTCAGCGACCCTCTCACTCACCTCTGGCTCTTCCCCAGGCCTGGCAGGCTCTCGAGACTTGATAAAGGGGAGCTGATGTGAACCCAGAGAGCTCTGGCACTGGGAACATGGGCTGTGGGCTTGCAGGCTGTGGTGTGGAGGGGATGGGGTGGACAGCGGGGGCCTAAATTCTCTCAGAAGTCAAGGGTAGTGGTGGAGCTTCCAGGGGCTCGAGCCCTTGAGGCAACTCCGGGACTGAAAGGGCTGCCTCAGGAGGTGGTGAGGGGAGGGATGGAGCCGGGCTGGGGGTGGGGTGAGGTGGGGGGGCGCGTGGAAGGTGTTCAGGCAGCGGGTGGGGTTGACCTGGACATGTTGTCTTCTATCTGTGCAGCTGTAATCCCTTCCCTCCCCAGCTTCCACCTCTGGACCCATTTTCCTCTCGGCGTTTATGGGGAGATAGAACTGGGGACTCAGCCAAAATTACATCTCCCCAAGTGTCCCAGGCAGGGGGGCCGCGAGCAGGATGGGATCTGAGGAGGAGATGGTGCACCGCTCAGCCGCGCGAATGGGCTTCTCAGTGGCCCCGGAGCGGCTTCTGCTGGCCTGCCCACCACCCGCCCCCGCGACAGGGTTTGGAATGCATTCAGGGAAGGCATTTAAAAGGAGTGAGGAGGGGACTGTGCCCCAGATCCCATGGGGCACACAGTGACAACAAGAACTACCTGCAGGTTGGCCTGGTCACATTGCCCCCAGTTGGTCTGGGAGGTGGGGAATGGGTCGGCCTTCCCCCATCCCCTCTCTCAAGAGGCCTGGGGCATGTGATGTGTGGTGCTGCTGTGAGAGGGGTGAGCATGGCCCCCCGCGTGTGAGCCTAGGCCACAGACATCGAGGTCAGGGAATGGGGCTGGAGGTCCATCCTCTGGGGGACGGAGGGAGGCTGGATTGTAGGAAGGAGAGAGGGGAGAAGGAGATGAAAGAGTGCGGCGGGAGCTGATACAGATGGCGTGTGTGCATGACACCCCCATTCCCCAGCCTCACCCTGGGGCCTGACCCCTGACCCCTTCCATGTGAATCCTGGTGGGGGGAGGGGCAGAGCTGATCCTGTGGGGTGCCCAGGGACCGTGGGCTGTCGTGGCCTCGGGACAGTGAGTGGTAAAGGAGACTTAGGAACCGGCAGCCTCTGCGGGACAGGTTGAGGGGTGTCAGGAGTGGGCTCAGCCAAAAATACATCCCTTCAAGTGTCCTGGCTGCCTGACTTTACTCATACTATTTCTCGTCCCTTTGCATCCCACTGAGGACTCAAATGCCCCAGGACGAGGGACTGACTGACAGCCGTGGAGGAAGATGCTCTGGTGGGGATGGGAGAAGATGGGACAGACGCCGGGGGGAGCCGTGAACACGCAAAACAACCCTTCTGAAACTGGATAAGTCACAAAGCACTTTTGCACAATCTAATTTAGACCTTCCAACAACCTCGTAAAAGAGTTGAGGCAGATGCTTCTATAAAGCCCAATTCACAGGTGAAGAAAACGAGGCTCAGAGAGCTTGTGACTTGCCTGTAGTGAGAAAGCTCTGGAGCTGGGATGACTAAGATTCCATGTTCATTCCCGTCTCCTAGGAAACACTCTGAGTGGCTCCCGGGGGCCTGGAGGCCCCCCTGGCCTGCAGCAAAGCTTCCTCGGTTCTGATGCTCATAGCGCAAGCGGCCAAAGCGGCAGAAGAAAAAGCCACTCTCACCACCCCGGCCTTCCTTCCCTAAAGTCCAGCCAAGGCTGGGTCAACACTTAGCGTCGGACAGAAGGAGCTCTGGGCCTCCCACATTCTGGAGAAAAGCACACGCCCGGAATGGGCCCCGAGTCCTCTTTCCGGGGAAGGTGCCCCTTCTCAGGGCATGAGGGGCTGGGGGCCAGAGCCGGCGGCCGGAGGCAGGCACTTACCTGGGCATAGTTCTCCGCTCGGGTGAGGAGGGGCAGCTCATAGGCCGTGGAGAAGTGGGTTCGAACCTGCTGCATCTGCCCAAAACGCTCCCTCTTCCTCCACTTGGCCCTCCGGTTCTGGAACCAGACCTGCAGGACAGAGCAGTTGTCACCGGGGTCAGGCCAGGAGCTGGAGGCCCCGCCTTCGGGCAGCGCCAGCCTCTCGCTTGAGTCTCACCAGTTGCAGTGTAGGGTCGAGGCCACGGGGCTACAGGTAATGTGTCCGCCTCGGCCTTTATCCTCAAGAGTTTACAATCTAGAATGATAGACGTTGAGAGCCTGGAAGGCAGTTTATTCCAGTTTATCATGTGGGCCTGATCTTGGGCCAGTAACTTCATTTTTCTAAGCTTCAGAATCTGGAGCAGGCAAGTGTCACAGACACAAAACACACGCCACTAGTCATCTTAGCGGTCATCTAACCAACCCCAACATGGGGGGCGGCCTGATCCACTGGGGCCACAGACTCCTGGGGAGAATCTGATAAGAGCTGTGAATGCTCACCCAGAAAATCATTCTCTTGGACGATCACACACATGTGGTTTGCCATCATTTTCCAAAAGGTCTGGGCCCAGGTTCAGGATTCCCACTTCCTGAATCCTCCGTGCAGACTTTTGTCGGAAAGAGTCTCCCGGCTCAGAACACCCTGGGTTAAAGATTCTCTGGGGGACCGGGGTTCAGTCGGGCTCCAGAGGCAGTCAGGGACGGCTTTGCGGAGGGAAGGCTGGGGCTGGGCTCCTAGTGCTGGCTGGAGGGACGGAAGTCCAGGCCGAGTTTAGAAACAGCAGGGCACACTCAGGAGACCTCGGGAGGCCACGCTGCCAGTTGGGGGAGTGATGGGAGGGAAAGGACCATGGAGGTGGGAGCCAGATTGTGGGGGGCCTCAAATGCCAGGTGGAGGGGGTCGCCACGGTGCCTCGAAGAGAGGCAGCTGCTGCAAAATCTTGGGCTGAAGAGTAGCCTGGTGCCGAGGAGAGGAGGCCCACCTGTCGCTGAGCATGGGGGTGGGGTGTTGGCGTGACCTGACCAGGTACTGGATGGGGAGGGCGGGCTCTGAGGCAGGTGTGTGAGCCAGGGTCTCTGGCCATGGGGGTGGAGGTGGGGTGGGTCCTTTTCCTTTTGCAGGAGCAAAGTTTCTGGCAGGCTGAGAACTTTCCTAAGGCTCACGGGCAGGAGCTCGCCTTGGGATCTGTCACTGCTGCCAGTGACTTGGGATCTGGGGAGGGGGCTACGGGGACAGGGGAGGGTGGGAGAGGGGGAGTGAGCAGGGCTTAGCTTCCAAGCCAGAAAGGGCTTCAAGCTGAGTCAAGGGCAGACCTCAGAGCTCCCTGGAGGGAGATTCCTCCCTCCAGGCAGCTTGATGTGCACCTACCCATTGCTGGCTGAGGTGCACATAGGCACACCTCAAGCAGCACACCGCCACCCACCGCCAGCCAGCAGTCTTGCTGAGAGCATGGAGCTTCCTCGGACGAGGGGGAGGGAGCTGGGCCTGAGGCCTGGATGGATTCACCATGCGGCAGCATAGAGGCTGCTCGGCCCACGGGTGCCCACTGGGGTGCCTGGCATAACCACTGGCCTCAGCTTCTGCATCTGAAAAATGGGGCCAACATCTCTGCTGACCTCTTCCCAGGGGTGGTGCCTCCGAGAGCAGCAGGTGAGCTAGGTGGGAGATGCTGTCAGAGAGTTTTTAGAGTGCTTCACACTTGTTTATCTTATAGCTCCTGACCTTCCTTGCTGTCTTTTGCTAGAAGAAAGAGGTCAGAAAAGAAGGGGGTGTGTGTGTGGCCCATGTTAGTGTGCGGAGGGTGGGGGTGAGGAGGGAGGGTGAGGCTGCAGCTCGTCCCAGTACACAAGCATGAGTGTCTCACACACACACACACACACACACACACAGAGCGCTGCTGGCACCTCTTTCAGCGTCACTCTGTTTCCTGTCTTGACTCTGGTGCAGGAGAAGCGCTCTCCTGGGTCCCCCACCCCCACGCCCGGAGCCGGCCCTCTCTTGGGCTGGAGTCTCAGCCGCTGCCCCACAGCCTCCCGGGGCTTCCTGTCCTCCTGGGGCTCCTGGGGTCTGGGCCCAGGCCGCCCACTGGGAGCCAAGGGCAGATCGGGTCTCCTCTCTGCGCCGCTGAAACGGGATCCCCCTTTATCGGTGGTCTGGAATGGGGGACTGGGGGCAGGATGAGAATCAGAGGCGCTTGTTTTCATTTCATGTTTAATTTCCTGCAGGCTTAGCTCAGTCTTTCCGCTCCTTCCTCAGCCCCCCAGGGTTCTCTGAGGGGGAGGCCAGCGGGAGGGGAGAAGCCCACTGGAGGCATCTAGATATATGACTGCTTTCTCTCTTTGAGGCTGGGGAGAAGTCTAGAAAAAGGTGACGTGTCCGCCACTGGGGGGTTGCTGTTGAGTCTCTATGGACTCGGTCCCGTGGTGGGATCCAGAGGTGCTGGTGGAGGTGACACGCAGGCGCGGGCTGGGCTGGGAGGGACGCGGATGGGGAAGGAGGCAGCCCAGTGTCCTGCACGGGGGGCCTGGGGTTGAGGGGAGGAGCAGGGTCGGGGGAGACGGAGTGCGTGGTGGTGGCTGGAGGTGAGCGCGGGGGACGAGGCGGGGGAGAGGGGAGACCTGGGTTCTCGGGGAAGATAGATGAGCCCGGGGGAGGCAGCTGAGAGAGCACTGTCTTGGGGAGGGAGTGGAGGAGGGTCAGGCTGAGGGATTTATTTGAGGGCTAAAGATGGAGATCGTGGGAGGCGGCACAGCTGCGTGCAGCAGGCCGATATGGGAGAGGAGCTGCCCACCTCCACCCCCTCCTCCAGGTCTTTCCTCCCTGGGCCTTACCCTGCATACAAGGCTGGAGGTTTTCTGCCCAGATGAGGCTTAAGCTAAGTCAGCCTCCTGGTCTTCGGCCTCCTCACACCTAAATTGGGTGGTGGCAGGGGTATCCTCGCGGGCCCCTTCTGTGCTCACAACCAAGGGTCCTGAGACTCAGAGCACCCTTCCATTTCTGACCTGGGGCTCCGACAGCTGCCCCCCCTTAGGTGCTCTGTGCCTCAGGCTCTGTGGCCCTAGGCCTGTCTCCACTGTGCAACCCCCAGAAGGAAGGGGGACTGCAAGGTCCCAGCCTTCCGTTCTTCGTGTCTCGGCCCAGGACCACCCTGCTCCCAGCCCACCCCAGCCCGGGCCCGCTCAGCACAGGCCTCTCCCCGAGGAACCAACCATCTTGGCAGGGTCCTTGCTAACCGCAGCCCATGTTGGGCCAGGGCGGGGTGGCCCGGCGCAGGGAGGCCTCTGTCTTATTTTCTTCAGACACCAGCTGCGGAGACTGGAGTCCCAGACAGCAGGGAGAGGCCCCTGCAGCCCCCTGGAGCGGGGCCAAGCCCCGGGCTTCTTCCCAGGAAAGGTCCATCTCGGGGCCCCCATCACCCCCTCCCTGTCCCCACTGCCACCCTACGCCAGGCACCTGGCTTCCCACCAGCTGAGTACGGGCCCTAAACAAACTCGGCAGAGGCAAGCAGCGGGATCCATCCCCACGTCCCCCATCCCTGGGGCACTGCCAGGCTCAACCCAGAGGTCTGACACACATGACAGCCCCACCCACCCTGCTGCCTTTATACAAATAAAAGTCTCAGAACAACCTGGCACGTGTCCTGCTACGGCAAACGAAAGTAAAAGAAGCACTGGGCTGGAACTCAGGGTCCCACATTCTATTCTCAGCACTGCCACTGAATCACCTTTCCTGAGTCACCTGATCACAGGTGATCGCTCCCTGCCTCTGGGCCCCTTCTTCCCTGATATCAAATGAGAGGACCAGGTGATCCTTTCCAGCACTAGCCTTCTATACTTCTATGGCCCTTCCCTTAGATGATAAGATATGCACACATTAGAGTTTCCCTTTCTGCCTTGGCTGCCAGGAATCTCAGGGTTGAAATTTGCACTCAGTGGCAAATATGATCCTTAGTCTAGATCTTTGACATCAATACCTTCCCATTTCATGACTTTGTTCTTGTTCTTAGATGAAAATAATAAACCTTTAATTGTAAGCTGCCCCAGCTCCTTTTTGGAAGTAGGCACGAATGTGTGTGTGTGTTTGTGTGTGAGTGTGTGTCTGTGTGTGTGTATGCAGGGAGAGCACTCCATTATAGCACTCCATTGTGGTGCCTGAAAAATGTTAAACGTACCCCAGCGTCATTTCCATGTGTTGTACTAGAAGGACCATCCTTCTTTTGATACTAAGTGAATTTTACTTCTTGGCGCCCCTGTCCATTTGTTAGGGACACACACGTGCGCACACACGTGCACTGCACAGAAAATGAACGGCTTGCTTCACACAAACACAGCATCTACAGGAATGC